TCTTTCCTTGTGTTTCTTTAAGGCCTTTTCTGCTATCTCCTGGGAAGCAAATTGTACAAAGGCCTCCCCTGTGCTCCGCCCCTGAAAGTCCACTGGCAGTGTCATCCCATTTGGCACAATTTCCAACCCTGAAAAGAACTGAACAATCTCTTCCTTGCTACAGCCAAATGGGAGTCCTCTAAGGCGGACGAAGCCATCATTGGCAGTATCAGGACTATTTGGACCCGTATGCTTCAACACCCAATCCATTTCAACACTATTAGACTTGAATACTTCAACATATCTATGTCCCATGGTTTCTCTGTCCTTCTTCAAAGCCAATTTCACTTCATCTTCAGATTCCAGTTCAACAAATGCTTCGCCACTGGGTCTGCCTTCCCTGGTGTAGATGAACCGAATACCTGATGTACCATTTTGGATTTTGCAATCGGAGAAGAAGCGCATAACTTCATCTGCTGAGCATGACCAGGGTAGGCCCCTGACCTTCACCACGAACCCCTCCCGGCCTTCTGTGCTCAGCATCATGTTGACTGTTGGGTTCTTGGTGGCAAGCTGGGCTTAATGCAATTTCAGGATAGCTGAAAATAAAGAAAGGGTGACTGTCATGGATAATGTTCATAACAACGAGAAATTAATGCCAAAATTTGATTATGCTAACGAATATTTTTCTTTGAAAGACATTCAAATAAATAAGACTCACACCAGGGGCTGGGCTCAGTAGAAGAACACATGCTTCACATTTGTGAGGCCCTGGGTTTTATTACCAGCATCAGACACCAAATAAATTCTGTACCAAATTTCTAAAGTATTCATTCATTCCTTTATTTCATGCCAATTATGTTGGATAACATTTAATGGTGATTACTTTTGGTTGGCAGGATGATGAAAAAATTCAGGGATTTTTTTCTTTTTCTGTAAGTTCTAGGTCTTCTTACCAACCATGTATCAACATTAAAAAGGCATAAAAAGGTAACAGCAAAATCAATGAAAGACATTCTCCCTTGAATATTTATATTGCTTGCTTGTCTGTTTCTTTGATTGCTGTTTCTCCTCTGGAGAAGCCTGTTGTTCTCTAGAGCACATACTTCTCTCTCTCTCCCTTCACATCTTTCTAAATAAGTTTTAATGAAAACTATCTTCCTCTGCCAAATAAAAATAAAGTATGGTGCTTGCCTTGCATGTAGCCAAACCAGATTTGATTCCCAGTCCTCCAAATGGTCCCCCAAACCCCCATCAGGAGTGATCCCTGAGCACAGAACCAGGAGGAAGTCCTGAGCATCGCCAGACGTAGCCCAAAAGCAAAACAGAAAGATGGCTATATATGGTTACATAAAACAAAGAGTCCATTACATCAAATTATTAAACAGAATTAAGAGATAATATACTTGAAAAGATATTTGAAGTAAATTAATATCCTTCTTACATAAAGAGTTCATACAAATTGTGGGAGGGCGGGAAAGTGGGGTACACTGGGGATATTGCTGGTGATGAATGTGCACTGGTGGAGGGATGGGTGTTTGATCACTGTGTGATTGTAACTCAAACATGAATGCTTGTAACTATATCTCACTGTGCAGTGATTCAATAAAATAATAAAAAATTCATAAAACATGATGAAAATCAGGGAAATCTTAAAGCCTAAGAGATACAAGGGGGAAAGACCTATGGGAAATTCATCCATTCATTTTAAAGTTTTTGGCTGAAAGTTTCAGTATTCAGCTCTGGCATACAAAGATCAATAAGGCCAGAAAGAGTTTATGGTTCTACAGTGACACTATACATTTTTACTAAAGACATAGGGCAAATAAACATTATCCTTGCTATGACATAATTCTGTGCAGGGAGGGAAGGTGTCATAAAACAGGGATTGGTTGGTCAATTCTATCAACAGTAAAATGATGAGATAAAACAACTAACCTAATTCAGAGATCCATAAACAGATTTATTAAATGATGGAACATAAATCAAGAGGAAAAGCAAGAGATAAGGTTGGCAGGATTAGCAAGGTAGGGATCAGATCCCAAAGGCATCATCTGATAGACAAACTCAAAGGGCCTTTTAAGGTTTTAAGTGGGGGGAGGGGAAGGGAGTGATGTCATGGAAGCCTTTCAGAAAGATTACCCAGACAACAATATGGCACTGTTAAAACCCTAGTCTCTTAGAAATATGCTTAGGGATTCACCTCAAACATCAGCAAGTTTTTAAAAGAAAAGATGTGATCTTTCAAACACATTCAAAACAAGGGGTATCTGGGGTATCTGTGGGACTTGGGAGATTAAATACAGAGGGAAACACATAAAGGATACAGGACAGGAGTCTAGGAAACGTCCAAATGTCATCCATCATAAAAGTGAACGTTCAAACTAGAATTATTCACCATTTTTCACCCATGAAGATAGTGAAATTAAGGAGAACATCAATGCTGATGTTCAGATTTGGCAAGCTAATATACCAAAGAGTCCAGTAAGATTTCTGGAAAGCAATTTGAAGTATGTATCACACTTCTGGACAGAAAATTGACTTCAGGTATTTGTTCAAAGGATATGATCTGAAATCCTAACACTTGGAAAGCTACATATTCTTTGAAAGGTATATTAAGTTAGAATATTAGACAAAAAACATGAAAAATTACTTATGCTATAATCTTAAGTGATTCAAAATTCAGCTATGTAATATCAACTATGGAAAAATAGATGTTTTACATACCCTTTGACCCTGCCAGAATTCCTTCCAGGATCCTGGTCAACAAAAATACAAAAGTTTATTGTAGCACTTTAGTAATGGCAGAAACTTAGAAATAGCAGAAACTCAGAAACTACACTACCTATTAATGGGGGGGTTGCATAATGAATTATACTTTATCCTTAAAATGTAATATGAAACTCTTCCAGTAACAGTCTTTTCAAGCCACAGTGCAAATTTTTAAAAAATGTAATATTCTGCAGTTAAGATCTAGGAAAGACCTAGGAAGATTTCCAAAACATCTAAAATGAAATTATGTAAGAAGGAAGGAAATTAGCATCCTGCACTTTCTCTGTAACTCATGATTTTTATTTATGGTAGTTAGTGTGGCCCTAACATTTATGAGGTTTTTACCAAATAATAAAATGAAAACACACCCAAAATTACATAAGAAAGTCCTACTCATTTTAAAATATAAGCAAGCATGCATATATTTATGAAAACATACAATATAAGATATGAAATCATGATACAAACTGTTTTTGTGAAAAGAACTGGAGAGTGGGGTGTCACTTTTTAATGTTCACACTTCTATATAGCTTTAATTTTTTAACTTTCCACATACTAATTTTAGCACGTGTATATTTTTCTCTATAGTTTTATTTTAGGCACCTGGTTTACAATACTGTTAATGGCAGGGTTTCATACCTTTTTTTTAAAAAAATCACTGAAACTGTAATTTAGAAGTTAGAAAAAATGTGTGAAGAATGGGTTAAATGTTAATGGAGCATGGTCCCTACAATTTTACTTTTTAAAATTTTGGTGCACTCTTCATTATCTATACAAAACGTTATTACTTTTAGTTCAAAGACAGCTTAAACTCTTGCATTTGGGGGTGCAGCTGAGCAAAATGTACAAAACAGTTCTGTACGGGGATGGCTTATTAGATCTCAGAATACTGGGGCCTTTTGGAGAGAAAGTACGGTGTATTAACGGCCATAAAACTACACTTGAGTTAATTCAGCATTTACTAATGACAATTATGTGCTCCTGGCTCCACTGCATCTGCAGCGATAACAATCTCCCTAGCCATCTGTAGGCCCAAGTCAGAGATTTACAGGCTCTCTACGTGCTTTATCTCTTTGATGACCAGGTGCCCATCTGCAGCACCGGGGCCTTCCCACCCACTCCGTTGTGGCCCGGGGCGGTTCTGCTTCATGACTGCATCTCTAATCCTGGGAAAGCAACCAGAGTTGTTGCTTCCCTTCAGTAGAACTCTGAAGTACAATGGCATTTGTGAGTGTAGAATTTGTCTTTATCTGTGTGTTGATACACATACTTTTGACACATCAGAATACTGAGTGGTTATCGCTGGGTGGTGAATTACGCATATTTAAAAAATTCTCGCACCGTGCTATTTTTTGAATGTTCAAAATTGAACACGTAGTTGATTATCAGCGCCACCCTCCCTCCCCGCCAATAAACCATCATCAATTATTCAATGGCGAATAAAATATTCAACTTAGTGAAAATATTTCTCGGGGGCCTCTCTTTGTCAGCCACGCAGCATCTGCCTCGATACGATTCTCCAGATAAGAGTTGACTTGGTACCTCTGGGGCGCCTGGATGCAAAGATCGGTACTCAGACCACAGTTAGAAAATTTGTTTATTCTCATCCAGGGCTGTGGTTTTCAAACGTTTCTCGGTTTACGGTTCCGGTTAAGGGTGCCCCACGGCCCGCCCAGATACACAGATAAGCGAAAACACATTCACAGTCACGAACGTCCACCATTTCCCCACCAGGCGCAGCAACGGCGCTTCCCGGCACTGAGGGGGAGGGGGAGCGGGGGAGGGGGAAAGGAGGCAACGGAAAAGGCGGAGGCGGCCCACGAACCCCGTTTTCGTCTCCTACATCACCACCCTGGCTCCCCCCTGCCCATTTCCACACCAACCTCTAAAGATATCGAATAATTTTCCTCCTTCTTCCCTCAAACGGCTATAGCGAGACGGTAGACGACGACGAGAACTACTTCTGCTCACGTAAGCGGCGGATCACGTGAGCGTCTACGTCATGTGAGATCTGAGTCACGTGAGCAACCCTAGATTTTTAAATTCTAGATCACAAAGGTGCCGCACTTCCTTCTGGTAAAGAATTAGGGTGGGCTATTGTCCAGGAAGAAGGGGTGTGATTGGTTGCGGTGAATCTCTGTGCCCGCTCATTGGCCCAGCTCTAGGGAAACCGTCCCAGTTACCTGAGAAACAATAACGTCATAATTTAATAACTCGGCGACTGATTGGTCCGCCCTTAAACTTAAAAGGCTAGCTCTTACCCGCGGAAATCAGTACTGCGACACTGTTGTCACAATGAGGCTGGAAGGTGGAGGTGGGATGCCGGTCTGCGTTTTGACGCTTCGCTTCGCAGCCCTGCTTCTCTGGGGCGTCTTGGGGGCCAGTGCCCTGGACAATGGTTTGGCGAGAACCCCGACCATGGGCTGGTTGCACTGGGAGCGGTTTATGTGCAACGTGAACTGTCGAGATGAGCCAGATTCATGTATCAGGTATCTATCAAGAGTTGTCGGGAACTCTTCTTTCTCGGGAGGACTGGAGAGCTGGGGGTCGGGATGGTGGTGCAGTCTGAGGGATGCGCCCCACGCCCAGCATACCAGCCCGAAAAATGCAAACTTTCTCCTCCCAAGCCTTCTCGGGTGGAAGAGCCACCAGCGATCCCCACTTTTCCGTCTCTGGCTGCCTAGCTAAGGATAGTTTTCACTTTACCTCCCAGTGCCTTTCCGATTTGTCTTGCAAGCTGATTGCTCTGCTTCTGCCAGGTACTGGGAGCGAGCACGGCGAGACGGAGGACTAGGGGTCACGACTTTCTTGTCTGTAATTCGAGAAAGTCTAGATTCCTCATATTTTCTGGGATCGTCGCCCCCGCCCCCGCACTCCAACCCCTTAGCGTGGTCTCTGGCTAGAAGGTTGTTGGAGCTGAATAACTTTTTAAGATGAAAGACGAGGGTGTTTAAGGCGAGATAAAAACAGGCGTCACATATGTCAGATCCACACATTCCTTCTCTGTAGATTGGAATAACAACTCTTACCTCACACAGCTGACTCAGAAGGATCCGTAAAATAGTTCCTTATGGAGATGAACGTTCAACGAGGTAACCCGTTTCACAGTTCAGTGCCTGACCCTTCAATTCAGCATGTCAGAATGGTCTTAACCTGAGGTCTATGGGAAAAAAATCAAAGCGAAGTGTGTGGTTTTCTAGAGAAGAATCTTTTAATTTGTCCAGAGGTTCAAAGGAATGTGTTACCCATAATACGTTAAGAATCTGATAGCTTGAGGCCAGTGACAGAATTTGTTTATCTGTAAATTAAAATCACGTTCCTTTTATAATGAGATCTATGTCACGAGACACTGAAGTCAACCTGCCTGGATTCAAAGTCTGGCTCATCCTTACTTAGTGTGATCTTGGGCAAAAGAATTTTACTATATAAATGTAAGCAGAGGAGAGTACCTATTGAATAAGAGCCTCATAAATGGAAGTTATGTATACCATACTTTATTTGCACGGTCTCCTGATAGCTATTTAAGCTTTTTTAAAATTTTTCATTATGAGCAGAGCTGTACTGATCATCCTTGTATATCATCTGATTCTTTTCCCAAAAGTCTTAATTACTGGGTTCAGAGTATTTTGTTGTATCCTCTAACAACGTTTTACCAATATAAATACAGTGTGAGAATGGTTGTTTCCCGTACCCTGCATGTTTGTCATTCTTTTAAAACTGCCATTTTGATAGATTGTTTTTTATGATACATATATGTATATATATAAACATGTTTAATTTTTGCAAAGCAGAAGGTCCAAGATTTTGTAGTGTCTTAAAATTCTTATTTTTTAATATTATAAAATGACTAAAATAGTGAGACTTTTAGTTTTGGTAACAGTGTTCCAACATTGCTACTTTTATTATCTTACTGTTAACATTTTAAAATCCTTGTTTAGGTAACATGGTTACAATAGTGTTAACTTTTGTTATACAAAATTATCTAACACTTCACCACTTCCAAAGTGCCCAATACCTCCCACCTCTGTCCTAAAAGTCACTTCTAGTTGTACATTGTATTGTATTTTTCATTTATTTGATTACTAATAAGGTTGAACATCTTCTCCTATCTTAAATTGGCTATTCACATAGTTACTTCTAGTGGATTGCCTGTTTCTGCTCCCTGGTTTTCTGTTGGGGTGTTACTTTTTATGGTCAGGTGTTGTGAATATGATGTTCTTACTCTATGTTGGTTTTGATATTCATAAACCAGGCACATTATTTAATGATTCCCAGCTCTGGAGTCATACTCTGAAAGTTCTTTTCTACCTGAAGATTTATAGTCTCAAATTTTTCTTCCAATATTCTTGTGTTTAAATATTTAGACTGCCTGGGCTTTATTCTTTTATAAGGGATACACGTTTTCTTTTAACTTCTAAAAATATGTTACAGGGTCAGAGCTACAGTACAGAGGATAGGGCATTTGCCTTGCACATGGCCACGATCCCTGACACTTCATATTGTCCGCTGAGCCTACCAAAAGTGATCCCTGAGCACAGAGCCAGAAGTAGGCTCCAGTACTGCCAGATGTGGCCCAAAAACCAAAAATTAAAAATATACCACATCTGGCCAGGTACAGGGGTTAAGGGCTAAGGTGCATGCAGAAAACACTGATTTGATCCCCAGTGTTGCACCTGGTCCCCCAGATAATGCCAGGAGTAATCCGTGAGCACCACTGAATCTGGCCTAAGCCACTTGTCCCCCAAAAGAGAATTACTATATTTTTCTTTTTCTTTTCAGTTGTTCTTGTGAATGTTTAGCTGTTTTTTTTTAATCTGAGGAGACCACATCCAGGTGTGCTCAGAGGCTACTCCTAGCTTTGCTCTGAGATCATTCTCTGCAGTGCTCCAGTGATCATGTGATTACGGGAATCAAACCCAGGCTTCCTGCATGCAGAACATGTATTTAGACCGTTGATGTATCTCTCAGGTCCAGTGAATGGTATCTTTTCCTGCAAATAGGTTATTATTGATACCTAAAGAAGTTATTGAGTATATTATCTTTCTTTGCTAAACTTTTTTCTTAATTCTAATAATAGTCTTTTAAAATTGTTACAGTATTATAAACACTAATAATACATTTTATTTTTTGTTTTGGGGTCATATCCCATGCTTATGACTTAGTTTGAGCTCTTTTCCTTAGGGATCACTCCTGGTGCTGCTCACGGAACTATACGGGATGCTGGGGATTAAACCCGTAATTAAGCCACATGTAATGCAAGCAAGCACCTTACCCATTGCACTATCTCTCAGACCCTCACAATGCTGTAATAATAGAGTGTCATGCATAAAACACCAGAATGACCACTTTCTTCCATCATTGTTTCGGGGTCCCCTCCCAATATCACCCCTACCCTTGATAATTCTTGTTCTATAAACCACTTTTCAGGTTCCTAGTAGCCTTTTTATTTCATGTATTACCAATTTCTGTTTTAATTGTTTGAGGGTCCTTAGGGTGGAAGTATGAAGAGGGGAGGAGAGGAGAGAGAAAAATACAGTGACCTGGTCTACTTTACCTTATGATAGTTGTATTTACTACTAAACTCTTAATGGGTTGGGGGGGGGGGAGTGTTACGTTTAAAATGCCTAATAAACAGGGGGTACTTAAACAATTGTTTAGCAGATTTTAATAATTGCAATCTCCTTCAGTGAAGAGCTTTTTATGAAGATGGCAGATATCATGGTTTCAGATGGCTGGAAGGATGCCGGTTATGAATACGTCTGCATTGATGACTGTTGGATGGCGCTTGGAAGAGATGCAAACGGCAGACTTAGGGCAGACCCTACCCGCTTTCCTCGAGGGATCCCCCACCTGGCTAGTTATGTGAGTTTATAGATAATTCTCTGTCCTTCAGGAACCTCTAAGCTCTTCTGTACCAAGCTTTTTTAGAAACAGAATGGCTGCTGTTATCTAAAACCTTAGAATTGCTGCTGTTATCTGACCTTATCAGGTAGAGTTTTATCAGACTTATCAGGTGGAATTTTTGTCCCATCAGCAGATTGATATTTTGTAATGCCTCTTGAGAGCCATCTTAGACAAGATATTTTGCTGAAATGGCAAAATTACCTAGGAGGAAAAGAAACTTTATTTTTGACATGTGTGTATATAATTTGTATATAAACTATGAGCAGATATTTGCAATTATAATATAAACTATTCTTCTTAGTTATGCACTATACTGTAGACTCTACTAATATAGCTTCATTTTATAATCAGGGGCTATAAATGCAAATTGTAGAAGAAGGACTATACTCTGAATAATATACTTTTTAGAAGAGTCTGATGGAAGACAAAGAACACATTTTCAAATTCTGCTGACATGCTTCACATTATACATTAAAACGTTAGCACTAAACTGAAGAGAAAGCTACTAGCCACTCCAGTCTATCCAATTCACTATACTCTGAATAATATACTTTTTCGAAGAGTCATAACTAGTAAGCACTGTAGCACTGTCCTCCCATTGTTCATCGATTTGCTCGAGTGGGCCCAGTAATGTCTCCATTGTGAGACTTCTTGTTACTATGTTTGGCATATCAAATATGTCACGGGTAGCTTGTCAGGTTTTGCTGTGCAGACAAGATACTCTTGGTAGCTTGCTGGGCTCCGAGAGGGGCGGAGAAATCGAACACGGGTTGGCCAGGTTGGCCGTGTGCAAGGCAAATGCCCTACCTGCTCTGCTATCACTCCAGACACTAGTAAAAGGTGACATATTCTACTCTACACTATCACTTGGGAAAGAACCAAGCTCAGTTCAGACAAAAACAAGTGGGGATTTATGGTCACAAAGAAAGGTGGGTCAATAGGTGGAAAATTACCCAGAAGATAAGGCCAGAAATATAGTATAGAGGGTAAGGCGCTTGCCTTGCACACAGCTGACCCAGCTTTGATTCCCAGCACCACATATGGTTCCCCAGGCACCCCCCAGAATGATCCCTTAGCAGTAGAGCCAGGAGTAAGCTCTAAATACTGGTGGGTATGACCCAAAACAAAACAAAAATTACTAAAAGGAAATATCAAAAGGACAGGGGAGATTATTGCTGAAGTCAGACTAAGAACTTACACACATCACAGAACTTGATCAAAGATGTGAGGTTGGCTTAGCAAGAATCTGGCTAAACTGGATATAGAAGATTGAGTTTGGGGGCTGGAGCAATAGTATAGTGGGTAGAGTTCTTGCTTTGCACAGAATCGACGTAGGTTCAATCCCTGGCTTTTCTCAGCCCTCCAAAAGTTATTTGGGAGCATAGAGCCAGGAGTCATTTCTGAGCACATCAGATGTTGCCCATAGAGCAAAATAAAGTCAGAAGGTTAAGGTTGAGGCCTCATTGAGATGAGGACTCTGAGGAGCCTAACCAATGTTTTTTTAGGAGAGAATCCATATAGATAAATCTGTCATTACCCTAGTAAAGTGACTTTGAAGATCACATCCCAAGAAGGTTGGAGTGGCTAGTAGCTTTCTCTTCAGTTTAGTGCTAAAGTTTTGATGTATAATGTGAAGCAGGTCAGCAGAATTTGAAAATGTGTTCTTTGTCTTCCATTAGACTCTCTGGATAATTTGCAGAGGGTAGGAAGGCTTTATATCAGATGAAGTGTATTTGTCTGTATTCACAGCCTGGAGTGTGCAGTTTTATTTTTGTTGTTTGTTTGGGGGCCACCTTCAGTGGTGCTCAAGGTTTATTCCTGACACTCTACTCAGGAATCACTCGGGGGGGGGGGGGGGCTGCAGGAACCGTATGGGATACTAGGAATTGAACCTAGATCAGCCCATGCCAGACAAATACCCTACCCTCTGTACTATCTCTCTGGTTCAGTATTCTTTTTGCTTCATATTTGCCTTTTGGTCACGGTGACTCTATTCTCATTTCAGGTCCATAGCAAAGGGCTGAAGCTAGGGATTTATGCAGATGTTGGAAATAAAACCTGTGCAGGCTTCCCTGGCAGTTTTGGATTCTATGACATTGATGCCCAGACCTTTGCTGACTGGGGAGTGGATCTGCTAAAATTTGATGGTTGTTACTGTGACAGTGTGGAACATGTGGCTGAAGGTATGTTTCATTAGAGCTTTAACCATGAACAAAGAAAAGAATTTTGAGACAAAAGAAACTGAGTATCCAAAATACTTTTTTATATTTTTCAATACCCAGTGACGATATTAGAATTATTCTTTAGTGAGGTGAGATTTGGGGCCACACCCAGCGATACACAGAGGGTACTTACAGATTAGTGCTCAGGGGTCATTCTTGGAGGTGCTCTGGATTAAACATGGGTCTTCTGCATGCAGAACACGTGCTCAACTTATTGAGCTAACTCTTTGCCCTCTAGGAAGAATATTTTTTCTTTTCCAGTGTTTTTATTTTTTTGTTATAGTCTGAATATCATGCTTATAATAATGAATATTTATGATATAGATAGGTAGTTACTGCACTGCAGCACCACAAAAATGCACAAGAACCTCATCTTCTGTCCTTACGTCACTTCTGGTTTTCCTCTTCATTGCCCTGCCCCATTACACCTCCCCCGACTCTTTTGAGTTTTTTACTCTTTTGAGTAAGCTGAGTTTTCTAATCTAAGGTCAAGGGTTTACCATTTTTTGATAATGTCTTTATGAATAAATATCCTTAATGTGCCAGATCTGTTTCCTACCTCTTCTTTTATTCATTTATGCATGCCTAACCTTAACTAATATTGTACACTCAATTCAAGAGGACTCTTAGAGTTCATTGCACACAGGAATTGTTACTGTCTGTAACATCACTTGAGAAAGCATCTAGACTGTCCACAGCACAGAGAAAGAAGCATGTTTATTCCTGCCTTCCCTCAATCGATCTATTCTACCTCCTTAGAACAACCTCAGCAGTCTAGGAGGAATTAGACACAATTAACACATAAAGCAGCTGCCTGTTTAGACTACCAGCTTCAAATATAGCGATGACTCTTTCAGGCAGACTTTTTTAAAAAAAACAGAGCCCCAACTGGAAATTCACTTCTTTCTTTTATTTTGCCCATTTTTTTTCTCATGCAGGTTATAAGCGCATGTCCTTGGCCCTGAACAAAACTGGCAAAAGTATTGTGTATTCCTGTGAGTGGCCCCTTTATACGTGGCCCTTTCAACGGGTGAGTTAATGAGCCCAAAATCCAGTAGAACCAGAACCTTACTGATGGATTTTCAGAACTTGAAAACAGGAGACAAATACTTGCAAAAAGTCCAGCCCTACCTAATAGTCTCATCACACAATGTTCCCAAGATCCAAGAACGTATTTCTCAAGTGCTGGGCTTGGAGTCTAAACCAGTGTTTCCCAACCTTTTTATGACTGCATCCCCTTCTGAACTTATTTCTTGACCTTATTTCCTAGTCAGTATTATGTCTCTCCATTTACATGGTTATCACCTATAGATTCCGTGGACTATCCTGAGGGTCCTCAAAGGACACATATGGCCTCCAGTTGAGAAATGGCTGGTCGAAACCAGTGGTTTTGAATCCTTTCTTCAACTAATAGAAATCACTGGTCTGAGAGACTGGTTTCTTAAACTGTGGGTCATATCCTCATTTGGGGTAACTGAATATGGGGTTGCAAAAAATTTCACAACAGTAAATGGTTTCTGAACATGCAGCCAAAAATCCATTCAAAATTCCACACATGATGAATCTAAGGTATTTCTTTCAGCACTCAACCGTGTTCCATTTCTCAGCCAAAAAGGTGTCGCGGGGCCAGTGAGAGAGTACAGGGGGTCGGGCACTTTCCTTGCATGTAGCCAACCCAGGTTCAATCACCGGCATCCCATGTGATCCTCTGAGCCCTGCCAAGAGTGATCCCTGAGTGCAGAGCCAGGAATCAGTCTTAAGCGCAGCTGGTTATGGTTCACCCCCACCCCCCAAAAAAATGTTGCAAGTAGAAAAGTCTAAGAAGCCCTGCTCTAAGATACTGTCACCTGGGAACTCATCTTTCATTCTTCTCTCTGATTCACTGTTGCCATCCTATCCACCAAGGTCCATGTATGAGGTCCTGGATTCAGTCCCCAGCACCGCAAGTACCATTTTAAAAAATCCTGTCTGTTCTGTCTCCAAAACCTCAACCAGCCCACTTTCCATCTTTACTGCGACCACTTCAAGTCACTATTGTATCTTACCCAGACTTCTTCAATAGCCTGATGTTTCCACTAATACTTTAATAATTCTAAATGCTCTAATGCTTCCATTCTCACCTGAACCCCATCCTTTTCCCAAATAGAATCCCTCTCACTCTCCGGCTTAAATCCCTTACCTGGATTCCCATTGCACTTGGAATGAAGCTAAAAATCTTACCGTGGCTGATTTTCTTTCTTTTTAAGCCTGTTGCTGACTCATTCACTGAGCCGTATCCTGGCCCCTCCTAACCCCCAATGTTTTTTAAATGGCCTACTCCTTTTTAACATTGGTCTCTCAGATCAAATGCCACATATTTAGACATGTCTTGACTTTTTTTATGTAGGAGTACTGCTATTTATTCAGTCACTGATTAGGCTGATTGAATTGTGCAAAGACATGTCTTTTCTAACTCTACAAATAGCTCTCCATCCATTTATCCTTTATCACACTAACTTATTTAGCTTCCATCTAAGACCTCAGCACTCTCTGGAATTATTTGTTGACCTCCTGTCTTTCTTCCCCATTGGAATACAAGCTTCAGGAGATATTTTGTCTTTTCCTCTTAGCACATGATTGAATATGGAATAATATAATTGCTGCAAAATACATTCCCCTCTTTCTTGGTATGTTAACCCTTAGATATACCACCTGCCTGACCCCAAACTTTTATTTGTTTCAGTAACAAATTACATGCCTAGGATTTAGGTAGTCTTAGATACTTGGTGAGTCCTATGAAATTGTGAAGACTTTTATTTATTGAGATCATTTTAGCTATTTCTGTTTATAACAATACATGTTCAGAGACCCAGGGGTGTAACTCAGTGATAGTGAATGTGTGGGGGCCAGAATGTAAGCGACCACACATGCCTCAACCAAGTATATGACCACTGGTGCCACAATCAGATATACTGGCCCCTATACTACTGGTACCTTGACAAAAAAATGCATGTTCATTTTTTTAAAGTTTGCAAATATAGTAAAGTATGGACAAGATTAAAATCCTCCATAAATCTAACACCTTAACAACCACTTGATAAGTTTACATCCTAGTGTTGAAACATGCCCTTAGACCCTTAGCCTTTTAAGTTTCCTGGCCTATTTCTGAAGCAAGCTCACAATAAAATCTTTTTTGATAAGGATTTTAGCTATTCTTATGGAGACCTGTAATCCATAAAGAGAAGGCTACAAGTGCCTCCTTTAAATGTGACTTTTTTGGGGCCAGAGTGACAGCACAGTGGGCAGGGCGTTTACCTTGCATGCAGCCACCTGGGTTCGATCCCCAGCATTCCCCACATACTCCTGTGCACCGCCAGGAGTAATTCCTGAGTGCAGAGCCAGAAGTAACCCCTGAGCTTTTCCAGGTGTGACCAAAAAAAAAAAAAGTAAACATGACTTTTTCAAATTATAAAAATACTAAAAAGTTAATGAGTTCTCTGTTTTAACAGCCCAATTACACAGAAATTCGACAGTATTGCAATCACTGGAGAAATTTTGCTGACATTTATGATTCTTGGCAAAGTATAAAGAGCATCTTGGCCTGGACATCTTCTAACCAGGAGGAGATCATTCATGTCGCTGGACCAGGGGGTTGGAATGATCCAGATATGGTAAGAACTTTAGCCTTCTTTGAGCATTTGCAGTGGGCCTGTTTCAAAGGCAATATCAAAGTAAATCAGAAGGGAATGTTCTGGGTCTAGGGAAATAGCTCAATGGATTGAGCATATGCTTTGCAAGTGGGAGGCCCAGATTCAATCACCAGAACCAAATGGTGATGCCTGAGCACTGCCCACTAAGTCTACCCTGTCACTGTCACTGTCCTCCTGTTGTTCATCGATTTGCTCGAGCGGGCCCAGTAACGTCTCCATTGGAGACATTTTTTTGTTGTTGTTACTGTGTTTGGCATATCGAATACCTCGCGGGTAGCTTGCCGGGCTCTGCCATGCAGGTGAGATACTCTCAGTAGCTTGCCGGGCTCTCCGAGAGGGGCGGAGGAATCGAACTCGGGTCGTCCATGTTAGCTGCGTGCAAGGCAAATGCCCTACCGCTGTGCTATCGCTCCAGCCCCTATAAACAAAAAAGGGGTGGGGGAAGCTCCAAGGAACAGCCCCTTAGTGAGAATATTGGAAGTAGGATACAATAGAAGGTGGCTTAAGTGTCTAGACACCTTTTTAGTTTTCATTTTTTGAGGGGGGGCAGAGGAGAGAGTCAACCCAGCATTGCTCCAAGGACCATGTGGTTCCTGGGAAACAAATCTGGAGTTCCTGCATGCAAAGTTTGCATTCCTGCCCATTAAGCTATGTCCTTGGCCATTGTCTAGACAAAGTTCTTTTTGGGGGGGGCACACCCGGCAGTTCTCCGGGTTACTTCTGGCACTGCACTCAGGAATCACTGTTGGAGGGGCTCAAATCATATGGGATTGAACCTGGGTTGGCCATGTGCAAGGCATATGCCCTACCCACTGTACTACTGCTCCGGCCCCATCTAGACAGATTTTTCACTTAAAGAACTGTGATTTAGATAGCATTTAAGAATGTTTTGTGAAGGGGCTGGAGCAATAGCACAGCACGTAGGGCGTTTGCCTTGCACATGGCCAACCTGGGTTTGATTCCCAGCATCCCTTATGGTCCCCTGAGCACCACCAGGGGTAATTCCTGAGTGCAGAGCCAGAAGTATCCCCTGTGCATTGCTAGGTGCGACCCAAAAAGCTAAAAAAAGAGAATTTTTGTCAAGGCAGAGACATAGTACAAAGGATATGACTCTTACCTTGGATGCAGCTAGCCCCAGTGGTACCCCAAGAACTATGGTATGGCCCAATCTCCCCAAAAACTGAAAACTGAGTATTTTGTTTTATTTGAATTCTTTTTTTCCTAGTTAGTGATTGGCAACTTTGGCCTTAGCTGGGACCAGCAGGTAACTCAAATGGCGCTGTGGGCTATCATGGCAGCTCCATTACTAATGTCCAATGACCTCCGAACCATCAGCCCTCAAGCGAAAGCCCTCCTTCAGAATAAGGATGTAATAGCCATCAACCAGGACCCCTTGGGGAAGCAGGGGTACCAGCTTAGAAAGGTATAGTAATTAATATTTATTTTATGGGGGAAAGGAATAGGAATTGGCCATAAATATCATATTTTATGCCAAATATTTTGCAGAAAGTGGTGTGCAACTATGATATAAGGCTTTTAATTATTCTGGTATTTCTACAAAACAAGTGAGCACAAATTTTGTGGTGAAAGTTGTCTGACTTCTAGTATACAATTTATGCAAATCCTTATCTTGGAAGTATATTTTAAGATGGACTTGTACCCAAATCCCAAGATTCTCTTGATCCTAAATCTTCTATATCTGAGGACATTCACTGATCTTGAATATATATTTTATAATTATGATACTTGTATTGAGGTTCCTTTTGGTAGACTTCAATACTTTATTCCCAGAACATGATAGGATCATTTAAATTTTCCTTTAAGTGTTCAATAAATTTCAAAGAGTCAAAGTGATCATAATGTATACATTTTGGTGATCATAATGTATAAAACTGATCCTGAAACCTGCAACTATAAATAAACCTACAGAATTCTTTCCAGTTGAGCTTTAAACTGAGGTTTACAGCTTCTCAACTTCAAAATACATTTCCGTACTGTGTGTATCACCAAATACAGTATCCTTCCACCAGGACAATGAATTCTGCTCCAACCTACTCTATCCCCTTTGGTAACCTCAGTTCTGCAGTCTAAGGGTCTTTTTTAAATTCAGTCTTTAATTCAAAGAATATATATTTTATAATTATGATATCTGTGTTGAGGTTCCTTTTGGTAGATTTCAATACTTTATTCCCAGAACATGATAGGATCGTTTAAATTTTCCTTTTAAGTGTTCAATAATTAAGAGTCAATAAATTAAGTTATCATATTGGTAGTTATCATGGTTTCACACTTACTATCTTGGGTTGTTTTTTAGGAAGACAACATTGAAGTCTGGGAACGCCCTCTCTCGAACTTAGCCTGGGCTGTGGCTATAATAAACCAACAGGAAATAGGTGGACCTCGATATTTCAGCATCTTTATTGATTCCCTGGGTAAAGGAGTGGCCTGTAATCCTGGCTGCTTCATCACACAACTCCTTCCTGTGAAGAAAAATGTTGGGTTTCATACGTGGACCTCAATGTTGAACACTCAGATAAATCCCACAGGCACTGTTTTGTTTCGGATAGAAAGTACACAGAAATATTGATTTAAAACCTGTTGTGCTACCCCACTTTTGTCACCTTTCCCTCTATCCCCACTTTAGCTATTTTCAATTTTCCAATTGAAATACTTGCTGTACTAAATCGTACCATTTATAATATGGACTAGAGGGGATTATCCTTTGTGAAATAAATCAGAAAAAAAATTCATGTGGGCTGAGTGAATTGGGTTGCATAAATGATGCATATATGGTTGTATAAATGATGGTATTAGGTTTCTAGTGGTGATGATGGGCTGGAGTGATAGCACAGTACTAGGGCGTTTGCCTTGTGTGCAGCCAACCCGGCTGATCCGGGTTCGATTCCTCCGCCCCTCTCAGAGAGACCGGCAAGCTACCAAGAGTATCTCGCTGGCACGGCAAAGCCTGGCAAGCTACCTGTGACGTATTCGATATGCCAAACACAGTAACAAGTCTCAAAATGGAGGCGTTACTGGGTCCGCTCGAGCAAAATCGATGAACAACAGGAGAACAGTGTTTGACAGTGGTGATGATAATGTTTAAGACTGATCCTGTAATCTGCAACTATGAACAAACCCATAGATTTCCAGTTGAGCTTTTTTTTTCTTTTTGGGTCACACCCAGCGATGCTCAAGGGTTACTCCTGGCTTTGCACTCAGGAATTACTCCTGGCGGTTCTCAGGGGACCATATGGGATGCTGGGAATCGAACCCGGGTCAGCCACGTGCAAGGCAAACACCCTACCCGCTGTGCTATCACTCCCGCCCCCCCCCCCACCCCAGTTGAGCATTGAACTGAGGTTTACAAGACTGTATTACAGCTTCTCAACTTCAAAATACATTTCCATACTATGTGCACCAAAAAATGGTATCCTTCCACCAGGCCAATTAATTCCACTCCAACCTACTCCATCCCCTTTGGCAACCTCAGCTCTGCAGTTTAAGGATCTAGATTTTTTTTTTTGCTTTTTGGGTCACACCCAGCGATGCTCAGGGGTTACTCCTGGCTCATGCACTCAGGAATTACTCCTGGCGGTGCTCAGGGGACCATATGGGATGCTGGGAATCGAACCTGGATTGGCCATGTTGGCTGCGTGTAAGGCAAATGCCCTACCTGCTGTGCTATTGCTTCAGCCCCAGGATCTGGATTTTTAATTTTGGTTTTTCAATGTTGAGGTATCTGAAGAGAACATTTTAGGTAAAAGCTTTCTTAAAACTACAATAATTTAGGTCCTATGCATTCAAGTCTGTTCTAGGTGTACTGAGCACCTTTAATCCTCACCAAAACTACTTGGGCAAAATGACCAGGACTTAGACATTGCACAATTGCCTACTGAGGTGTCTGGGTAGTATAATCCAAACTCCCCCTAATCCCAAATCTGTTCTTATAACTGGATTACAATACTCAAGTAGAAATCTGGGCAGAGGGGGGGTGTGTATGTAAATCTAGAACCAGAGGCAGTCCACATTACTGGATACTTGAATTTTAAGCTATACACGAATACTCTTTTTTGGGAACATAAGACATTGCTCAAGGGACCCTAGTTTCACTATGCTAGGCACTAAGCCTTCCAGATCACTCCAACCCTACCAATCCCACTTTCAAATGGTTTTGAGGGGGGCTGCTTTTAGGGCACACCTGACTGTGCTCAGGGGTTACTGTGCCCATGGGGGACCATGCCATGCCAGATACTGAAATGGTCAGCTGTGCACATGCATGGCAAGCACCCTACCTCCTGTACTCATTCCAGCTCAAGTGCCTTTCAGAAAGCCTCGGTTCCCAGATCCTGAGTTTGGGAACTAGTTTAGCAAACATAGATGAAGGCTTCAATCCTAAAGATGGGGTAAAATCAGCAAGACAGCCCAAGTGGTTCAATTGTGTAGCATCTAGAAACCCCTCACACCTATGGGGACACAGGTAACTCTGGAGGTTGACTCCTGATCTGCTAAGAGTCAACTCTTCAAGGCTGTGATGTGACAGGAAATTTCCAGCTAGGGTATAAAGGCAACTGACTTCTACATCACTTTTTCATTTGTTCCTACAAAACGCCAACCTAGCCGGTGCTTTCAGTTCCCGCAACATTACTATGCTCAGCCTTATGGAATGTTTGATTCCTCAATAGAGTAGGCAGTGCCCACTCAGAATACAATTGCCTGTTATGTAACTACAAATTATCACGGAATTGAACTATTGTCAGCTAGATAAAAACTATTAATCATGACAAATGCAATCCCTTATCCATGGGAGACAGCATTCTTTCATACATCTCTTGTTAAAACATATTTCACCATTCCCAGCTATGTATTGTTGAATCAAAGTTGATACATAACCTGCTTATATTCCATGGGGAGATACAATTCACTTTAAAGTATATTCTTTGTAAGTTAACATTACCTTGTCCAACTTGTCTTGGGGGTTACACTGAGCTATACTCAGACACTACTCCTGATGGGCTGGGAGTCATGTGGTACCAGGGTCAGCCTGGTGCAACACAAGCACCTTAACCCGTCTTATCCATCATGCCCAAATCTGACAAATTTAAGAGACTGACTTACTGCACCTAGTGAACTAGGCCAAATTTCTCTGAATGACTTAAGTAGCAAAGGCATGTGAGACACTACTCACCAAATTACAACCAATGTGTGATTAAAAGCAAAGGGAATCCCACATAATTAAAAGTGCCAGATAAGATTACATCTGATGAGCAAGACCAGAATGCAAAACAAGAACAAGAATTATCAAGCAAATTTCCTCTCAGGAAGTTTATTCATGACACTACTTAATTTCCCTCCTAAAACATGGATTGTTCCATCAGTCTAACACAGCCCAGGATTTCTGTCTTCGTATTAAAAGATGAAGCTTAGAACTGGATCACTTGTCCCTGTAAGAGAATAGAAAAAGGGGTGAGTTTTTACTTTGAAAAGAGAATCAGTAAAGTCCCTGCAAGGGAAGTTCCAATCCTTCCTTTCCTCATCATGCCAAAACTAACACCTCCCCAAACAGAAAAAGCTAGACAGGAATGATTGTACCTTCCACCCGTAATTACATACCTTTCTCTTTTTATCGCCTCCCAGTTCAAAATGCTTGCATCTCTTAATGGCCAGCATTCTCTTAGATCTGCAGTTGGGCTCGACGCATTCAAGTCTCAATACAATCTTCTTTGTAGTTTTAGCCTAGAAAAGTAATTAAGATGAATCTCCACCAAAAATAATTTCTTTAAAATACGTTGGCTTATGTACTACCCAAAGCAGTTTTGCAAATTGCTATTTACAACTTTCCACAGGGAGAAAACAAACCCAAGTTGGTGGACTTCCAAAGGTGGAGCTTATCTTGCTTTAAGTTAACTCTTCTCCATACTACAGGACTATCACATTAGGCATTCTTTATACCATGACCTTGTAGCCCATTATAGCTTTGCAGGTTTTCAAAATCCAAAATGGGTCAACCAAGTGCATGCAATGTTGTAATAAAACACAAATTTTGCAATTCATTAAATAGGGCTAATTACTGTTCTCCAAGAGCTACCTATAATTATGCCTCGGTTGTGAATTTATTCCTATCTCCCCATGGTAAAACCTGTCAGAATTCTTCTGCTAGTTCTGATTCAATTTAGAGTTGATATTAAGGTAGTCCTCATTGTCAAAAGAAACCCTCAAAATCCTTCTGGTTTTCAGTCTCCCCACAGCAAAATCTAGTTAAACCCCTTTGCTAAACAAGTTAACTGAATGTGAAGAGGCAGTTTCACTTGCCCCTCAGATCAGTTTATTGCACCTAAATGAACACTAGTCACTCCTTATTACTTTGTAGAAATCAGATTAAATGAGCAGTTTAGCTGCTCAAAGAATCACCTAGGGCAGAAAACTCGGTTTGAAAATAATACAGAATCTTAGAAGCCAGTGGAAGGCTCCTAATAGCTATTATTAAGAGCTTAGGGACTTGGACTACATGGTGGGTAGCTGATTACCTTCAGTCTTCTAAGCAGAGTCTGAATGAGGAAAATTACTGCAACCCAGAGTTACTCACACATTAGTTCTCAAAATAAGCAGGCAGGGAGCCAAGATCTACTACAGGCAACACTTATTTTCAATGCCGCCGACACTTGTTTAAACCTCAGAACAACGCTGTCGCGTTCAACAATCCTCCCCACCCAATGTTTAAGTAGGCACGAAGCTCAGTGGTATAGCACTTGCTCTGCAGTATGTGCCCTGGTTTCAAATCCCTTTAAGTAGGCCAAAAATATATATATATATATTTAAACAAGGTAAGAAGGAACAGGTGAGATGTTTGCCTTGCACGTACTTTGATCCCTGGCACAAGTGAACCGTTGGTATCGCCACAAACAGAAAAAGGTAGTTTAGTATTGTAAAGTCGGCTCTACATTACACAGGTTCACTTGGGGACCACTGCAGGTTAGAGTTCAGAGGAGCGCTGGCCTCCACCCACCTCGGAGCAAGGAAAAGTCCTACATTGAAACCATGTGGTAACAAACGCAGCTTTCAAAGGGTAACGGGAATTGTATCATACAGAACTACCAACCTTCTTCCGGAAAATAGGCTTAGTTTGACCTCCGTAACCACTCTGCTTCCTGTCATAACGACGCTTTCCTGAAAAAATAATGTTATGTTACAATAGACTACGGTCCAGAAATCACAAAAGCCACAAGTCGTGTGGGTTTTAGCTCGGGCTTTCTGTTTATCAGAAAATAATGCCCAAGCTAAAACCAAAAAAATGGGCTCGCATACGATTACACAAGTGCCACATTGTAAAGAAATTACGTCAGACGATCTTACCCTGGGCATACAGAGAATCCTTGCCCTTCTTGTACTGTGTGACTTTGTGGGGCTGATGTTTGCCACATTTCTTACAAAAAGTCCGGCGGGTTTTCGGTACGTTCACCTAGTAAATAAAGCGTCCCGAACGCGGAGTTATTACCAGACATAGCACAACGCCCTTGCCGACCCAGCTGAAGCTAAAACATTCCAGAAGACATCAGCTCTCTAACACAAAAAGTTCCGAAAAGGAATGGTTCCCAAGTCCTTCAGGCGGAACGCCCTCCGTGGAGGCCCCAAGAGTGGGAAGAGAGCATATTTATCCCACCCCAGCTAAGTCTACCTCTTCGACCCCATCTCTTCAGCTTCTGTCCCCGAAGTTAGTCCCCCGGGGGTCGATCCCCACCACAAAGGCCATCTTGGGTACAATAAGTCCACGCAGTTGCCTGGACCCATCCCTCGATAGCACTGCCGGCGACGGCGAGGAGGATTAAAGTGGATGTTGCGGGGTGCCCTCCCCTAACTCCTACCATGCTTGCGGCAGCGGTGTCCGCGAGGAAAGGAAGAACTTGGCCGGAACGGGAAGTTTATAGGCGGGTCTTGCTCGCACCTCCTCATGGGAGTCTGGGGGAGTGACCATAGAGTGCAAAGGCTCTTCGTGCTGCGCCACCAGGCGGCCCAGATGACTCGACGGCGCCTTCTCGCGTAAAAGATCGCCTGCGGTGGAGCAAAAGGGCTTTTCCTCCATTTTCTCCATTGCCGGTTCACCTCGACGACAGTGAGGACAACGTTCTCAGTGATGCGAAGTCTCGGAGGGGGCCACTTCATTTTCACGTAGTTGGTCAGTTAACTAATGCTTACTTTGAGTGCTTTCTCTGTAGGTTCCTACCGTTGGCGAGGGACAAAAATAACAGTGTCCATAAAAAATATTACACACTAACTGCATTACAAGAAGGAACAATGCCATGCATTAAAGTAACCCCCTGGGGCTGGAACGATAGCACAGCGGGTAGAGCGTTTGCCTTGCAAGCCCTGAGCACTGCCAGGAGTAATTCCTGAGTGCACAGCCAAGAGTAACCACTGTGCATCACCTGTTGTGACCCAAAAAGCAAAATAAATAAAATAGAGCAGCCCCCCCTTTTTTGGAGGGGTCACACCTGCCTGGCTCTGCACTCAGGAATTGCTCTTGGCGGTGCTCGGGGGACCATGTCGGATGCTGGAAATCACACCCGGGTCAGCCGTGTGCAAGGCAAACGCCCTACCCGCTGTGCTACCACTCCAGCCCCAGTAGCCCCCTTTTGTACTCACCCCCTTATCGTCTTGCTTGTAGACCGGACACGTTGCTATGGCACAGAAAATTCCAGAGTTTGCTGGAATAACATTTGGGTTCACACAGCTGTGAGGCCCAGTTTATGGAACAATGGGTCTCCTACTTGGAAAATCTAATGCTCTACCATTGAGTTATCCCTGGACCCTAAGATCCCATTTATAAAGGGAGTAAGTTGGCCACCCCAGATTCTTAAAATTCACTATAAAATTGTTCATCTGATGAAATGAGAATGATAAATATGGAAGGAAATAGCCAGCAGCTTCTATTCCCAGAACACCTGGCAGAAGAGATGTTCTAAGTTTCAAGAAAGTCTGGCAGAGAAAGGCTACGGGAAACTTGACCATATAAGATGAATTGATCGAGAGAGAGAGAGAGAGAGAGAAAGAGAGAGAGAGAGAGAGAGAGAGAGAGAGAGAGAGAGAGAGAGAGAGAGAGAGAGAGAGAGAGAACTCCCTGCCATAGAGGTAGGCTGGGGTGGGGGTAGGGGATGAATGTGGTATGGGGAGGGAAACTGGGAACGTTGAAGGGATGGATATGACTGAAACCTAATCATGAACAACTTTGTAACTGTGTATCTCACAGTGAAAGAAAATGAAAGAAAAAAATAAATGAAGAACTGAATGGTCTAATAAAATCCTGGAGGTAATCCCAGGTAGTAGCTAATATTTTCTCACTTTCCCAATGAAATTGAGCAGGGTAGAAAACAATGTGTCTAATGTGAACAATATTTATTGAGCTGGGGATACTCTAGAGCCTGAATACTTCTTATGACCGATAATTAAAAGCAATTATTGGGCCCGTATGGTATGCCAAGTGTTTCTTTTTTCTGGGCCACACCCAGAGGTAGTCAGGGCTTATAACTGGCTCTGTATTTAGTAATCACTTCTGGTAGTGCTTAGGGCACCGTATGTGGTACTAAGGATTGAACCTGGGTTGGCCACATGAAACACAAGTGCCCTACCTGCCATATTATCACGCTGACTCCTGCCAAGCATTTTTCTAACCACCTTACTACCTCTTTTCATTGTAGCAACAACTAAGGCTTTATATGCCATTGCTAGTATTTTTCAGGATAAAAAGAAACCCTAAGGCACATGAGGCTTTAAATGTGCTTACCCAAAGTCCTACAGGTGAATATTTTGTGGAGCTGCAATTTGATCCTAATCTAAATATCACAGCTTTACTCTTAACTGCTACATCATATAGGTAACACAGGAATATTTGCAGCAAAGAGAATAGTGGAGAAGAGAAATTGGATAAGGGTACAGGATTAGGGACCTGGCAACTATGAGATCCTGGACTCCCCTATTTATATAACTTTCCAGTGGCACCCATGGATTCTGAACTGTCTCAGATCATCCTCTTTTTCTTGAATGGTCTCTGTAAATAAGAATAAAAGCCTACCGTTATCTGCTACATTTCCTAAAAGATTCTTCAGAATTATTACGGGGGGAGCATTGTTTGGTTTGGGACCAGACCCAGTGGTGGTCAGGGGTTAGTCCTGGTTCTGTGCTCAGGAATCACTCCTGGTGGACTTGGGGACCATATATGATACTGGGGATGCACTCTGGGTGACCACATTCAAGGCAAGTGCCTTGCCTGCTAAACTATCTCTCTTCCTCCCTCACAGAATGTCTTCCTTCTCTCCAAGACTTAGGCATACTGATAAGATACTGTGTTTGGGGGATACACCTGGTTCTGTGGTCAGGAGTTAGGAGTAGCTCCTGGTGGTGCTGGGGGTAATCATGTAGAAACAGGTATATAACCTGAGTCAGCTTTTTGTAAAGCCAATGCCTTAACCCCTTTACTACCTTTCTGTTCCCTCTGACGGCTTTTTTCTTTTTTTCTTCTTTTTTTTTGCTTTTTTTTGGGGTCACACTCTGTGATGATCAGGGGTTACTCCTGGCTTTGCACTCAGAAATCATTCCTGGCACTGGTCAGGGGACCATATGGGATGCTGGGAATCAAACCTGGGTCGGCCACATTCAAGGCAAACACCCTACCCACTGTGCTATTGCTCCAGCCCCACCCCTCTGAAGGTTTTGGTATAACATGGACATACTAAGTCAATGAACATGACTTCTCTTAGACTGTGGTTCTATCGTACCTCATGTGGTGTATCTTTGATTTCCATTATTTTCAACAATCCTGGTTTCTTTTCCCTCCTTTTTTTTGGTGGGGGTGGGAGGGAGTTGGGCTTTGTGGTGCTTGAGGGACCATATGTGATGGGAGGGATCAACCGGGGTTGGACACATGCAAGGCAAGTACCTTACTCACTGTACCATCTCTCCAGCCCCATCAGTTCTGGTTTCCATTTTGATTACGCACCTACTCATTAATTTCCCCTAAGATAAGGCATTACGAACTGAGTTCCTAATAAAGGGCTGTGGTCTGAACTGTTCACTTTCCAGCCTAGATATTTTACCTCTACACAGAACCTTGGATTTTCTAAGCAGCTAAGTTACTCACATGACATTTCTTCTGATTGTTATCAACAAAAGCCTCTATGCTTATTTCACAAATGCTACTGTTACTCTACTTTTACCTGGAGTTACTTGAAGTTCAATGCTGGTGCTCATTTATGGAATATGACTCTTATTCCTGGTAAATGTGCTTTTTTGGTAATTAGCTCAATATAGCAGGTGGTCAGGATCATTTTGGAAACCAATTGCACTGTTTATGTCATGCAGTCTAGCTCACGACAACGTTGCACCATTCACAGATTAGCTGGGCCACCTTATATCTATGTTCTGTGTCTACTTTAGGATGCAGCAGCCAAGGCAAATGACTGTGTCTGATATCACAATAGACAACCAGAGCAGTCACTATGGAGTCTGCCATCCTGGAGTGTAGCCAATACTTGCCTTTTCTGGGAGAACCTTCCAGCAGGAGAGTCCTGCTGTAACAGAAGGTAAGAGGTGACTGAGGAAGTATTCAGGACTTCAGTAACATGCCTATTGTGGCTTATGGGTCTACAGGTGTCAAGAGAAATGTATTAATTAAGAGTTAATCCCTGAGACCAAATTTTAACTGCGACTATCAACATCCACAGAAAATGGGGAAGACCCAAGTCTTGTGTGGGTTTTCATTTAGACATTTTTATCTGTAGAAAGAAAAATTCTTTCTTAGAAAATGACTCAGCAGGGGGAAGTTTTGTCGTTACCTCTGTCAGGTTCTTAAATTTGGGGCCCCTTTAGTGAGTGCTCCCCATTTTTCACTATCAGGTTTGTGTGGTACCGAATCTCCTGTGCCTTAGAGGACAGGAGACTTTAATAATAGTCTTCCTGAACTGGGGAGATGGCTCAGGAGGGCTGGAGTGTATACTTTGCATGCCAAAGTCTCCATATTCAGACCTCTGGCACCACTTGATCCCCTGCACACGAGGCTAAAATTAATCCTCAAATATCACTCAATGTGACCTTCCAAATCTAAATAAAGACATGTTTCCCCAACTGTCCCTTTGTTCTGTCTCTGCCAGTTTGCATTTCTTCTATTTTCTGTTAGTCTTCATTCCTTGTGCTGACTGACTCCCTGGCTCTGCACATATGGCCCCAAGGAGGTTCTGTGACTTCTCTAGCCAGCCCCAGATAATTGAGTCTCAGTGGTTCCAGTGACACTGGAAAGGGTTCTTTCAGAACCAACTCAAGATGGTAGTGTCAGAGGTCACAGGCAAATGAAGGCGGGGACAACTGGGGGTGGGGGTGGAATGGGGACAGCAGCAGGGAACCAGATACCATGCTGCTGAGAAAAAGAGAAAAAAAGTCATTGGTTTAAGTCAGGAAACAAAAAAAGGGAACTGAGTGGCTGTGAAAGGGTGGGGTTTGCTCAGACTGTCCTTCCTCTCTGGACTGTAAGAATATGTCTCCAGGCCCAGTGTCTTCTGAGACCGAGTCCCACCTGCAAAGTCCTGGCATCTCAATGCTTCTGGAAAGCTTCCTACCTTAAGTCAGGACTGAGGTGGGTCTGGGGCTTGGTAGGGGGATGGGCAGCAACAGCTCGGACCTTGCGCGGAATCCCTGAAGGTCAGAGAGAACGCATGGCTGGTGCCATTTAGTCTGCTGGTGAAGGAAGTTGACAGAGAGTGGGAGTGTCATCAGCATAAGGCCCTCACCATACCTCTGATCATGGGAAGGGGCTGTACGGGTCCATTCTGAGTAGGGCTGTGGGGAGGGGGCGGGGGAACAAGAAAAGAAAGTGTCCGAGGGGACCATCAGAATAGGTTGCAAACGTTGGAAAAGAGTACGTCTGCAAGATTTAGCCATAGAGGAGTATTGCCATTGACAGTAGAATAATAATAAGCACTTGGGTAAAATAGTGCTTGAAGATCCAATATGTATACGTGTGGTAATGTGGACCCTAGGGAAAGAAATTCTAAGAGGTAGATCCTCTAAGAAAACTTATTGTAAGAACTCGCATGCCACAATAGAGAGCTGGGGAAAAGCAAAGACTACATTAGGTTGAAAGCTACCTGCCTTGGGCTGTAGTGGGCCAGTGTTAACTGCATTCAGAGTTGACTTGTTTGAAGAATTGTGTGTCCCAACCTCGTGGTAACAGTAGGTAAGAGTCTGGGGCAGGAAAGAGCAGCCCAGGGAGTGTGGCCAACCCTGGAGGCTGTGGGGAAGGTTTCTCTAGTTACCATTGCCGACCATGTGCATGCCTTTTTTTCTCTTGCCTTCATTCCTTTCCGCTCCTTTCCTCTACAGCTCTTCTTTATATTCTCCTTTATCTTGTTTGTTGTCACATCTCTTGAAATACTAAGGTTTCAATAACTGTTAAATTACATCAGTCTTTAACTGCCCCTTTCTTCCCTTGGCTTTTCCACTCTCCCCATTTCCCCTTATTTAGTATCTTCGGAAAATTGTTGTGAGTGGTGTGTTAAATCTGTGTACAGCAGTTTAAACAAGGCCTGGCATTAAGAAGACACGCTTTATCTCAGTGTCTGCTGATTCTTACTCCACCAGAAACCTGCCAGTGTCCCCTGAGGGTCTGCCTAGAGTAGTGTGGCATTTAAAATTAAAGGGAAATTTGATTAACAGTGCTGTAAAAAAATTAAATTAATAAAATGAAAGGAAAGGGCCAGAGAAATAGTATATCAGGTAAGGCAGTTGCCTGGTATGTGGCCAACCTTGCTTCTATCCTCAGCACAATATATGATCTGCCAAGCACCACCAGGTGTAATCCCTGAGCACGGAGTTAGGAGTTAAGTCCTGAGCATAGCAGTATGTGGCTCAACCTTGTCCTCCTAGAATAAAAATAAAATAAAGTGTAAGGGATTGCTAGCCCTGATTAAGATATCCTTGAATGAGTTTCTGGACCTCCAAATGGGATCCCACTCCAGTTTTCTTGCCTCAGCGCTCCGGACAATTCCAGAGATAGAGCTCCAGTAAGCCCAGAGGCTGGGAGTCTGTGCAGGTCAGTGCTCTCTTCTGTGCCATTAGTTATGTTGTAGTTCTGCTCCTTCTCTCAATTTGCATGCCAACCTTTTGCACCAAGTGTGCTGCAGCCACACAAGAGGTTTGATAAAATAACGTTAGATATTTCATAAAACAATATCACTCTCCACATAAGCCACAAAGTGCAAATAGTTAATGAATTCTTTCTTCCAGAACAGTATGCCTTTAAGGCCAGCACTGTTTCTTTTATTCAGACTGCTTTAACTATTGGCTTTTGTTAAAGTCCAAATTCCTAGTTGTTTATAGCTTTTGATGAATTTGTTCAGAATCCTTTCCAAATTCCTCACTTTGAGAACTAATGCAAGTTTCCATCTAATTTTAGAGTCTTGGTGCAATTTTAAATTATCATCATTATGATTTACTGTTTCCATTTTAGCAAATTTCCTATATTGGACTAAACCAGGAAGTGATTTAGGTATAAGGGGAAGAAATGGCATTTGAAAAGCAGTTTGGGTATTCTTCGAAGAGCCATCAGGAACCTGCTGCCTTTTGCCCAGTGATGACAGAGCTCTCTTTGCTAACTCCTAGAAATAAGGCAGAATTTGAAGGTAGTAAGGCCATGCTCAATATGAAGCTAAAGAACTTGACCTAAATCTCTCCCAAGCTGCTTGGCTATGCAAATGAAGCCGTCAGGGTATGGCAGAGAGAGGATTCCTCTGAGGAACCTGAAATAAAGAGGATAAATGTGACTTTATTCCTGGGCACTTAGAGTGTTCAAGAAGCACTGGAAACACAGAATCCTTATTCCCAGGATTTCTTCACCCCTCTCTGAGATCCTTAGGATTAATTTTGGTTTTTTGAGCCTTGAAGAGCTCATCTCACAGAGTTACTTCCCTGAAATGAAATGTATATGCTCACCGCCAGAAGAAGGACATTCTTGAGTCAAGAGAAGTTAGATTTTGTACCAATTGGTTGGAATATATCAGAGTTGAAAATCACCGACGCAGATGAAAAGAATAGTAATAACAAAAACAAATAAACAAAACAATAGTGTGGGACCAGAGCAATAGTACAGCAGGTAGGGCGTTTGCCTTGCACACAGCCGACCCAAGTTCAATCCCCAGCATCTTATATGGTCCCCCAAGCACACCAGGAGTAATTCCTGAGTACAGAGCCAGGAGTAACCCCTGAGCATTGCCATGTGTGGCTCCAAAACAAATATTTAAAAACCATCAGCATATGGTAAAAACAGCATATTTTTAATTGCCCTGTTGAAAAGTCAAACTTTATTAAATTTTAAGTGACAGCACTGGAAGAAGCTAGCAAATGGGGAAGAATGTGAAATTTGTATATTTTTTAAGATGGGACTTGGGGTGGTACCTGGCAGTGTTCATGAGCTACTCTTGATTCTGCTTGGGGTGACCCTGGTGGTGATTAGGGCACCATATATAGTGCCAGGGATTTGAACTGGAGTTAACTAGATGCAGGAGATCAAACCCAGGTTGGCTACCTGCAAGGCAAAGCCTTACCTGCTATGCTATTTCTCCATTCCCTGTATTTTTCTTTTTTGGTTTTTGGGCCACACCCGACAATGCTCTGGGCTTACTCCTGACTCTGCACTCAGGAAAAAAACAGAGAATAAAAGATAATGTGTAGTGAAAGAAAAATCCCTCCAATTTTTTTGAATGGGAATTAGGGCAATGTTTCTGTAAACTATTTTGTCAATATATAGCAAAATACAAAATTCACACACATTTTGATTTGGTAAGTGATGCTTATATAGAAATCCTAATATCATGGGAAAATAATCAAGAATAATGACAAATTAGAACTTTAAATATTTTGAAGAAGGATGTGTTGGATGAATGGTTAAGAAAAATAAGCAAGTTACAAGTATGTGTGATAATGATACAAAACCATTTTTTAACTTTTTGTTCAACACTTTCATTTATTTTTGATTGATTAATTTTTATTCCGTTTCCATCCTTTTCCATCCTTTTTCTTTTATTTTTGTGATGACTGGGGGTCACACACATGCCTAACTATGGTGCACATTGAATGCCATATATCATATTTGTACAATACTCACTGAAGATTGTACTCTTAGCTGAGATATGTAAATTTTGATTGTGGTGCTTGTCAGGGGTTGCTGCAGTATTCACACACATGCTCACAAGCAATTGCACTTCCTGGCTTGGGTACTAACACACTGCTTTATTATTATTTTTTTTGAGTGGGGGGACTCCACACCGCTGTTCCCAGGACTTCCTTCTGACTCTGTGCTCAGGGATCACTCCTGATAGGATTTGGTAAATTAGATGGAGGTGCCTAGTACAAGGCAAGCACCTTACCACTGTACTATCTCTCTGTCCTTCGCTCATTATTTTCATAGTGTGTTTTCCAGGGGTCACAATTTTTTGTGTCACTGACACACACCTGGCTGTTTGTGGTGCAGCTGTAAAGGCTCACAGCACCATAATTACCAACAGCTGAATTGCCGGGTTTAAACTGCAGAGTT